CCTCACCAAGCAGGGACCTCACCAAGCATGGACCTCACCAAGCAGGGACCTCACCAAGCAGGGACCTCACCAAGCAGGGACCTCACCAAGCAGGGGACCTCACCAAGCATGGACCTCACCAAGCAGGGGAACTCACCAAGCATGGACCTCACCAAGCAGGGACCTCACCAAGCATGGACCTCACCAAGCAGGGACCTCACCAAGCAGGGACCTCACCAAGCATGGAGCTCACCAAGCAGGGGACCTCACCAAGCATGGACCTCACCAAGCATGGACCTCACCAAGCATGGCCCTCACCAAGCATGGCCCTCACCAAGCAGGGGACCTCACCAAGCAGGGACCTCACTAAGCATGGACCTCACCAAGCAGGGACCTCACCAAGCAGGGACCTCACCAAGCAGGGGACCTCACCAAGAAGGGACCTCACCAAGCAGGGGACCTCACCAAGAAGGGACCTCACCAAGCAGGGCAAGCAGGGGACTTCGTCCTGATGCTGTCAGGAATACGGAGCCTTTGCTGGACTCAGCACTAACTTCCTGGCCCAACGTGCCCCTTCACACGCTTGTCAGCATCTGCTGAGTGACCGCAGAGCAGTGGCAGGAAGACTGGTCCTCACGTTACTGGTTATCCAGCAGAAGAGAGAGGCATTAAGTAAATAATCTCATAGGTGACAAAATCAAGTCAATGAAAATTATGAGAAAGACGACGAAAAACACAACTGTTAAGTGACTTTATAACGGGTGGTCTGACTTGATCCATTCAGCAAGCACTCACTGACCGCCCACCCTGTGCCGGATATCACGTAGGTGCCGGGACCCATCAGTGAATTAAGCAGGAAAAGATTCCTACCCATGTGGAGGTATATTTGGGTTGAGGAGCAACTGAGGATTCGGCGAGTCACTCAGTGTGTGGAACAAGTTAACAGTGAGACTCTTGACGCGTAGCCGGTTTTGCTCACTGTATGGGTGCAGATCACCTGGACTTAGGTCTCAAGACACAGTTTGTGGGAGCGAGACTTATTTTGGCTGAGAAAAACAGACCAGACTGGACAGTAAAATACCCATTTGCCATTATTTATCACGGTTTTACCTAGACTCCCAAGCAGGGAGACTGAAAAGTAATGATAGGTGTTTATTTACATCTTAGTACAAGCGAGGCGCCGTGCATGTGTTCTCTTACAGCCCTGCAGGGCAAGTCGAATTTCCTGTTGTGCAGATCGGGAAACTGAGGCTTGGAGTCCTGACCTTGGGTACACAGCTAGTGAGAAGCTGGCCCCGGGAATTGAAAGAGGTCGTCATCTCACAAGTTCTCCCCACCAGTGGCTCAGCTTTCTCCCAACACGACCTGGTCATTTTAGCAGATCGCACCTGAGGTATCCTGCTCACAACCGAAGCCTTAACGTAGCAGTGCAGCTTGTGAGGGCCTCGAAGACGAAACCACGTGAGAACATCTCTGGCATTTCAAGTGCTAATGTAGACATATATACATCAATATATATATCTTTTTTTTTTTTTTTTTGCAGAAGCCAGGTAATTATATTTTCATACAGGTCTTTGCTCCTGTGAAGAGTTTGAAACTTGGGCAATTCTTTCATCTCCACCGAGACTTCTAAACGCAGCCAAACCCCTAAGATGCTATTTGGCCGTGGCCGTTGGTTGGCCGGGTGACGGTGGAAGCAGCTGAACCAGGCTGTCCCTTCTCTGCGCCCTCGTGTGGCCGGGTCAGCCGCCCGTGCGCCATGATGGAGTCACACGGGCTCCCGGCCGACACGCACAGAAGCCGGTACTGCCGCGGCACCGAGTTTGAGGAGAGAAAACGTTTATCATGAGTCGACCAGCAAAGACAGGGGAGGCAGAGCTGGAGCCTGTCTCCCCAGGCTGGGGCTCGGGCCGTCCTGCGGGACGGGGCAGGATGGGGCGGGATGCCGGCGCCCTGGCCGGGCGGCTTTGGTCGGAAAGACTTCAGACAGGACCGTCACGGAAAGGGGTCTCATATTCGGACAGTGCTGGACAGCGGGCCCCTCTCTGTTGAAAGTATCCCAACGTCTGGGCTCCAGGCACCCCTCAAACTTTTGGTTTTGTTGCAGGGGGAAGTGGTGGGACTCCAGTTCGGGGTGTTATCTGAGGTCAAAGCTTCCGTTTCTGCGCACACTGTGGCTGGTGACTCACGACTTTGGGCTCTTCGCCTGGATAGCGGCCTCACATCCGTTATCGGCAGCGGACGGCTGGTGGGGACCGGTCTGGAGGTCACGGCAGTGAGGCGGCACGGCAGTGGGACCCTCTAAGACCCTCGCGCTCCACGGAGATCGGCTCTGCATCCAGTCCGCGCAGCTCCCTGGGACTTTCATATCATTATTTTCTACAAGTAACACTGGCTTCCTTCTGAAACCAGCCGAAAACCGCATCTTCCAGGCTTGCTGGAAACTGCCTCGAGCCAGGCTGTGCTGAGGTCACCACCGCGTGGGCGTGGGGTGCGGTCCGTGCTCGCTTGCGCCATTTCTGTCTGTTATTTTATTATTTTATTTTATTATTTTATTTTATTTTATTATTTTATTTTATTTATTTTATTTTATTTCGAGACGGAGTCTCACTCTGTAGCCTGGACTAGAGTGCCATGGCATCAGCTTACCTCACAGCAACCTCAAACTCCTGGGCTCAGGCGATCCTCCTGCCTCAGCCTCCCGAGTAGCTGGGACTACAGGCACGCGCCACCATGTTCAGCTAATTTTTTCTATATTTTTTAGTTGTTCAGATAAGTTCTTTCTATTTTTTTTTCATGCCTCTTTCTTTTTTTTTTCTTTTATTTCATCATATTATGGAGGTACAAATATTGTCAGGGTTACAAATATTGCTCCTGCCCCCCCCCCCCCGAAATGTCCAATCCCCTGGTGGTGTGCATCGCACACGTTACGGAAACATACATCCCTTTCCTAGTTCTTTCTATTTTTAGTAGAGATGGTGTTGCGCTGTTTCACTCTTCCTCAGGCTTGTTTCGAACTCCTGACCTTGAGGGATCCTCCCACCTTGGCCTCCCAGAGTGCTGGGATGACAGGCGTGAGCCACCGCGCCCGGCCAATGTTCCTGTCTGTTTTCGATGCACGCTCAGTGCCTAAGGCTCACGGAGCTCGCAGCGGAACTGGTTTTTGGAAAGACATCTTGGTATTCTAACATAAAGGCAAAATACCAAATCGTTTATTGACTGTGAGATTAGAGACTCAGGCTAGACATGTATGGATTAACTCTGCACGTTCCACGGACAAGCCTCCAAGAAACAGCTCCGGGGCAGAGTGGTACCTTACTCTGTTCTCCTTTTTCTTGTAGAATTACATGTGTTTAGTCTGAAAAGGCCTCACTTTGGAGCTCATCCAAATCGCTGTGTGAGTGTTCCTTTCTTGACCACAATTCCTCCAACACAAGTCAGATTTAGAAGCTCCCTATAGTTGCAGGTGGTCAGAATCTGAATGTATCTAATTACCGTTTCCCGCCGGAATTGATGCCAACTAGGGGCTGAGCTTCTGTCTGACGACGTCCACTTTCTCCACAGTGAGTTCTGTTCCTCCACCTTGCCTGTTGCCAACTGAAATGAAATTAAAGCGTTCTGTCTGTTTACAGGATTCCTGCCTTCGTTTAGCTTGTGCAGTTCAGAGAGGGACAGGCAAAGCTTCTCTTAGTTTAAACTGTTCAAAATGGAGGGATTTTCACATAGAGAGAACGCAGAGCTTCAAAATATCTGTCATGTCTGAATTTACTCCTCTTCTTTTTCCTTGTTCTGTGTGAAAGTTATACAGATCCTATATAACTAATTACTCCCCCTCCTGGTATTGTGGTTTTTGAACTCTGTTAGCTATTCTGGGAGGTACAAAAACGGGCAGGGTTTAATTCTATACTCTAGAAATGTATAGTTTTGTAGAGGAAGAGCTATGTTAAAAACATAATAAAATATTGTCGGTTCTGCATCATAAAGAATTAAACAATGCTTTTAGGGAAGAGATGAGGATTAGTGGTGCACGAGAGATTCTCTGTGTAGCCTGAATGTGCTTTTTCTTCTTGGGGAGTTGCAAATAAATTGTTTTAGGAAGCAAGAAGAAAAAAAGCCTCATAAGACAGAATGCCATGTGTTTTCATATAATTTTAAATAAAATACTCAGGGGAGCAGGGATGGGAAAATCAGTCCTACCGTGTTTCCCCGAAAATAAAACAGGATCTTATATTTATTTTTCCTCAAGAAGATACCCTAGGGCTTATTTTCAGGGGTGTGTTATTTTCCCCTCAAAGCCTCAGCTTGCAGCACGCACAGGATGGCCGGGACCTGACAGGGGGAGCCGACCTTGTAGGTGGGGCTGCCCGCACCTTTCCAGTCACCTCTGGGACAGTCACTGTCAGGACGGGGCAGATGAGAAGGGCTGCTCATCTCCTTTCCCGCTCCGCGACGGCACGCACAGGTTGTGCAGACGCGCTGCGCAGCCACGCCCGTCACTAGGGCTTATTTTCGGGGTGGGGCTTCTATTGCGCACATGCTTAGACGTCCTGCTGGGGCTTATTGTATGGGCAGGGCTTATTTTCAGGGAAACGCGGCACCTGGGAGCAGCTGGGAGGCAGTGGCTGTGGGAGGGTCTGAAGACAGAGACGGAAGAAAGTCCCGGCAGGTGGAGAGCTCAGTGCCTGGGAACGGGCTCTGGAGCAGCAAGTTTGCGGTTTAGCTGAAGAGACTCCTGCGAGGGAAGCGGAGACCAGGCGGTTGCGGGTGGGTGGTCGGAACCTTCACAGCCGGGCTGGTGGAGTTTGACCTTTCTGCTCTAGGTGGGCGTTCCCTTACTCTGGCTCCAAAGTCCTGGTCCCATGGGATGTGCTGAGCATCAGACACACACGCTCAGAGAGGCGCCGTGGGCAGTAGGGCAGCCAACACTCTGAGAATCCCTGCAGCAAAGATTCCTGCTTTATTTCATCCCACCCAACATTTAATAAAGGTATTTTTTTTTTTTTTTTTTTGAGATAGGGTCTCACTCTGTTGCCCGGGCTAAAGAGCCATGGCGTCAGCCTAGCTCACAGCAACCTCAAACTCCTGGGCTCCAGCGATCCTCCTGCCTCAGCCTCCCGAGTAGCTGGGACTACAGGCATGTTGCCACCATGTCTGGCTAATTTTTTGTATATATTTTTAGTTGGCCATTTAGTTTCTTTCTATTTTTAGTAGAGACGGGGTCTTGCTTTTGTTCAGGCTGGTTTTAAACTCCTGACCTTGAGCAATCTGCCTGCCTCGGCCTCCCAGAGTGCTAGAATTACAGGTGTGAGCCACCGCGCCCAGCCTACTTGAACCCATTTAAAGAGTTATTTTTCCTTATTTCACTGTGAAAAATTTCAAGAACCCATAAAAGTTACAGCAGCAATACAGTGAATACCTATATGGCCAACACCCAGAATCACTTGTTAGCATTTTGCCATATTTTTTTACATACTTTTTTCCCCCCTCCTGAACCATTTGAGACTAAATTTCAGGCATCGTGACTCGTCACTGCCAGACACTCCAGCATGTGAACCCTAACCATGAGAACATTCTAGAACGTTATGTTCAATTCCAAGTGAGATGCACTGAGTACTTCTTGCATTTTTTTTACATTTTTTTAAAAAAGCTACAGAAGACAGTTTGGGGACAAATGGGGCAATTTGAGTATGGCTTAAGATGTTGGATGATGTTATTAAGTTGATTTGTTAAGGCCTGGTAATGGTATTGGGTTGTAGGAGAGGATGTCCTTATTTGTGGTAGATATGTATTGAGATTTAGGGGTCAAATGTCACGCTGTCCACAGCACACTTTTGGATGGCTTGGTGGAAGGAAGGGTGTGCCGTGCCTGTCTTAGTCCTTTTGAGCTGCTATAACAAAATACCATAAACTGGGCAGTTCATAAACAACAGAAATTTATTTCTCACAGTTCTAGAGTCTGGGAAGTCCAAGGTCAAGATCACAGTGCCGGCAGCTTTGGGGTTTGGTGAGAGCCCATGTCGGGGTTCACAGACACTACCCTCCTCTGCGTCCTTGTGTGATGGGAGGGGTGAGGCGTCTCTCTCAGGCCTCTTTTATTTAATTTATTTTTTTAACTTTTTTTTTTACTGCCTTTCACATTTTTTTTTAAATTTCAAAATATTAATTAAAGGAGTTCAAGAGTTTTTGTTACATGGTTATCTTGTGTAACACTTAAGTCACGTCTTTTGGTGTTTCCATCCCAGAACAGTGTTCCTTGTGTCCGACAGGTAAGTTTGTATCCCACACCTGTCCCCCATCATCCCTCTCTTGGTTTCTCATGTCCCTTCCGTGGCTTTGTTCAGGTCTCTTCTATAACGGCGATAGCCCCGTTCTCGAAGAGCTCCCCCGTCACGACCTAACCACCTGCTAGAGCTGTCACCTCCGGAAACCATCACCCTGGGGGTTGGGGTTCCAACATGTGAATTTTGGGTGGACACAAACATTTAGACCGCAGCAGTACCTGTGTGAGATGCATCGGGTACAAGAAGATTATTAATATTCGGTGTATTTGGATGAGGAGTATACGGAATCCTTGAGAGAAATATTTTTTCCTTCCACTTTGCACGCCTCTTGTCCTCCCATGCTTAGTTATTGTTCCATGGCATGAAAGTTCTGCTTTGACTATTTGTGAGTGGTGTCTGCGTGTGGAGTTTAGTTCCGAGGACTTAGACTCACTCTCCTTCCCAGCAGGTGACCAGGATGCTGCAGAGACGGGGAGTTTAGATTTCTAGGATGCATTTTCTTCTGAGACTCTGCTTTGATTAATATGTGACGTGACAGCGAGCGACCGTGAGCAGGTCTTGGTTCTTGCTGCTCCCTGCAGCCGAGCGAGAGAGTGGGCTCCAGCAGGCCGCTGAAGAAACTCGGAAAACACAGGCACATTCCTCACGGTTCAGGGGAGGCGTCAGAGATCCCTGGGATGGGTAGGAAAGAAATAGCCTGAGACGTTTCACCTGCAGGTCTGTTAAAGCCATCATGTAGGAGCATTGATAGCATTTTTGTCTGCCTCGTTTCACTGACAGACTTTGGCAGCCCTGGGCGTGGTAGTCGTCGTGCATTTTGAACTACTCGCAAGGGATATTCTTGGGTGTCTTCCATGTAAGAAACGTGGTGCAGAGAAAAAAGGGGGATTTATTTTTATGGATCTTATTTCTCCAAAGATAAAATAGAACTTGAGTCACAAGTCATATCTCTTTTGAAAAACTGGTAGGTAACAGAATTTTATTAAACAATTGTTTGGATGAAGGAAGAGGAGATGTGGCATTATGGGATTCTTTGCTAAGTGGAGATTTTATGTTGAAATTATAGATACAAACAATGGGTGCCTTTTAGAACTGAATACCTGCCATGTGCTTCCTCTTAATGCCTTGACATTCCTGCCTTTTCTTAAGAAACTCAAGAGTCTCTTAATGACTCTATCTTTATCTTTTTAATGTTTCTAAAAAGGGAGAATATCTGACGTATGTTTTTACTGAATTTAAGAAGTATTTGGAGGAATTTTAGTTTTTTTTCTTTTTTTCTTTTTTCTTATTTTTTCATTTTTTAGAAGACACAAGGAGATTTTAATTTTAATAGTGATCTCTAACTTCCAGTTTTTCTTCCAAGAGCAGCCAGAGGCAGAGCAGGTGGAAGATGAACGATGGTTTGGAGGGAGCTGACATCTGCAGATCACACAACAACACGTATTACACTCTATTGAGCAAACACGCACTGAGCACCCACACGCACCAGGCTGGTGAAAGTGTGGGTGGAAGCACAAGAGATGGCATGTCACAGAATCTGTCTGGTGACTTCAGTGACACAGGAACACGTGTTGGGAGGAGCTTGGCTGTTTCCCGCTGTGATGGTCTTCATGGATGGACATTGCTCCTCTCTCTTTATAGTAAATCCACTGACAAAAAGGCTCTCACCCCTCCCTTCTTGGACCATTCCAGTTTTGTGTCACATAATTTATTTGGGGAAATGAATTCCATGTGTGCAGCAAAGTTGTTCCAGATCTACCTCCCTCCTGGCTCACTTTTAGTATTTTGGGATTTGATGGCTGCGTTTATGGTTAACAAATGCAAGCCCTTCATGACGTTTATGTCTTCCTTAAAACACACACCTCTTCAACCGCTCTGTCTTTCCGATGTAAAAATCGTTGCCTTCTTAGTCCACCACTGTTTTCTCTTTAAACTTGTGTGAGAGGCGTTGACAATCCTGGATACCATTAGCTTTTCACCCCAACCCTATTTTCCATGGAGAAGAATGTGTAAACTTTCCTTAGGAAGTAGGTGAGATAAATTTTTCTTTCCTTTAAATAAAAATATGTAAGTATTTGGAATTCTCGCAAAGTTCTGGATCAATCACCCAGGGTGAACACATCACTTACAGAGACTGGCTAGTGGTACTGTCATGAGCGATCTCTTTCAGGTAGCAGTGTCACCTGCTGTAGCATGAAAACAGAGTCCTAGTGAACTCCTGGATCTCGGTGGAGAGAGCTCCACAGAGAATATGAAAAGTGCTGACATGGTTCTTAGTTACCTATGGTAAGGTAGGAAAGAGGGAGTTAAATTAAAGAACAAATTGTTCACAATCTTAATATTTTTGGGTGAGTCTCATAGACCCTCTCTGTGATAAGCAATAAGATTTTAAGAATCTTATCAGCCTTGTCTCCAGGCTGTCTCACGCAGCACCCAAGACAGAGATGGGCATGTCTCAAAGTTTGTGGGTGTTTCTATTTTCTAATAGGGGAATGCCAGTGAGACTCATGGAAAATCCACACTGTTTTTAATGGAATTGTACTGACAGAGGCTCTGACAACTAAGACTAAAAGAGACAGAGATAGCACAAAATGAAAACAGAGCTTTGGTTCCTCAACTGTCTATGAGCAGGAAGCAGGCTGAGAAGGCCAAGTTGCAGATTCAGGCCATTTTTTATGGAAAAGGAAGGATTACTCAGAAAGCAGAACCTAGAGCTTACTCAGAGGACTGAACCCAGAGAAACATTCCCAGAGGGAAAGGCTGGTGGGAGTGGTGAGTGATTTGTCCTTTTGGTTTATTGGTCTTCAGAAATTATACTTGAACAATGGCACCTAAATAGCTTCATCTATTGATTGAATTTTGCCATTTTGTTATTTATTCCTTTGCTCCACCCTCTGTTTCTATTTCTCTTTGACTATTTAAATACAAACCTTATTATTATTATTTTAGTGATGATTCCAGGGATAAAATTAGAAATCTAGCTTTCCTGGTTTTACTTAGAGTTAACATTATACCACTTCACATAAAATGTAGTTCATTTTATGTGAACTAAAATCAACTACATAGTTCATTTCTCAGTCTACTTGCTTTACACTATAATTGTCATATGCATCACATCTACACACTCTATAAACTACAGAAGATAATATTGTAACTTTTACATTAAACAGTCATATGTATTTTAAAGAAATAAAAAGCAAAATGCATTTTTACTCAGATATTTACTATTACTATTTCTAATACTTTTCTTTGGTGAATATTTTATTTTCTCTCTGGTATTATTTTCTTTCAGACTGAAGAAGATTGTTTAGCATTTCCTGTTTGTTGGTCTGGTGGCAATGGATTCTCTTTTTTTTTTTTTTTTTTTTTTGAGACAGAGTCTCGCTTTGTTACCCAGGCTAGAGTGAGTGCCGTGGCGTCAGCCTAGCTCACAGCAACCTCAAACTCCTGGGCTTGAGCGATCCTTCTGTCTCAGCCTCCCGAGTAGCTGGGACTACAGGCATGCGCCACCATGCCTGGCTAATTTTTTTATATATATATATCAGTTGGCCAATTAGTTTCTTTCTATTTATAGTAGAGACGGAGTCTCGCTCTTGCTCAGGCTGGTTTTGAACTCCTGACCTTGAGCAATCCGCCCGCCTCAGCCTCCCAGAGAGCTAGGATTACAGGCGTGAGCCACCGCGCCCGGCTGGATTCTCTTTAGTTATTTTTTTTTTATTATTATTTAAAAATTTCTTTTTTCACCTTCATTCTTTAAAGATATTTGTAATGGGCATAGAATTCTGGGCTGATGAATTTCTCCCTCCCTCCCACACCCTTTAAAGATGTGGTCCTACTGCCTCCAGCCTGTGTAATTTTGTGATAAGTCAGCAGTCACTGGAACTGATATTTTTCTGTATTTCATATGTTGTTTTTCTCAGTGCATATTCAAGATTTCCTCTTGTTCTTCGGTTTTCAAAAGTTTGACTATTAGATACTTTATATGTTATTCTTCAAAATTAGCCTGATTGAAAGTTTCTGATCTTCTTGGTTTTGTAAATATGTTTTCCACCAAATTAGGGAAATTTCTAGCCATTTTTTTCTTTAAATGTTTTTTTCCACCTTATTTCTTCTCTTCTCTTCTTTTGGTAATACAATTACATGTATGGTAGACTTTTTAAAAAATATATATATTGTGTTTTTTTACATTTTTATTATTTATTTATTGTATTTCAGCATATTGCTGGGGTACAAATGTTTAGGTTACATATATTGCCTTTGCTCAACCCGAGTGAGAGCTTCAAGCACGTCCATCCCCTGACAGTGTGCACCACACCAATTAGATGTGAATACACCCATCCCTTCCTCCCCACTTCCTCCTCCCTGACACCCGATGAATGTTACTACTATCCGTGTACTTAAGTGTTGATCAGTTAATGCCAATTTGATGGTGAGTACATGTGAAGCTTGTTCTTCCATTCTTGTGATACTTCACTTAGTAGAACGGGCTCCAGCTCTATCCAGGATAATATAAGAGGTGATAGATCACCATTGTTTTTTGTGGCTCAGTAGAACTCCATGGTGTACATGTACCACATTTTATTAATCCACTCATTTATTGATGGGCACTTGGGTTTTTCCCACATCTTTGCAATTGTGAATTGTGCTGCTATAAACATTCAAGGGCAGATGTCTTTTTTATAGAATGTCTTTTGTTCCTTTGGGTAGATGTCCAGTAATGGGATTGCTGAATCAGATGGTAGTTCTACTTTTAGTTCTTTGAGGTATCTTCTTATTACTTTCCACAGAGGTTGTACTAGTTTGCAGTCCCACCAGCAGTGTATGAGTGCTCCTATCTCTCTGCATCCACGCCAACATTCCAGGCTCCCAGCTCCCTCCATGGTAGACTTTCTGATAATGTCCCATAGGTTCCTCAGGCTCTGTTCAAATTTTATATATAATCTTCCCTTATTTCTATTTATCAGACTGGATAATTTCTATTGACTTAGATTTCTATTGACTTAGATAATTTCTATTGACAATGTCATTGACTCTTTCTCCTTTTTATTATTATGTTCAAACCATCCTATGAATATTTTAATTCAGATATTTTCATTTTAATTCATCTCCATAATTTTCATTTATTTAATTTTAATATTTTCTATTTTTCTACTGAAATTTTCTTTCATTGTGAGTACTTCATTTTTTTAACTTCATTTAGCATAGTTATAGAAGTTGCTTAAACCTCTTGTCTACTATTAATAATTCCTATATCTGAATCTTATGTCTCAGGGTTGGTCTCCATTAATTGTCTTTTCCCTTGACAAAGAGTCACATTTTACTGTTTTTTTTTTTTAAATTTGAGTAATTTGGGATTATATATTGGAAATTGTGAGTATTATGATGTGAAGATTGTAGATTTTTGGTTACATTCCATTGGAGAGTGTTAATATTTTTCTTTTAGTAGGAAATTAATTTGGCCAGACTACAATTGCATGCTATAATTTTTGGAAGCAGCTAAAATGTCATTTTAATTTTTTCCCTGCTTAGCTGGAATGTTCACAGTCTTTCCGCATTTACATGGCTCAGAGGGTAGCCAGACACCTGAGCAGAGTTTATGCCCAGAGTGTGGGGCTTCTCCTCTCTAGTTTTCTTATTTTCTGTCTTTCCACCTCATTTCCAGTGGCTTCTGCTGCCCTCGCCTCTCTCTTCATGTTTATGTTATGCAGGTTTCATGGTTTGACTGCAGCCGTCCAGAGGCTGAAAGAAAAGAGAGGCTGGCAGTCTCACTCTCTGCTGGTCCCTTCTCCTCTCACAATATTTCTGCTTCTGTGTATTCTGCAGAGCTTGCTGGTCATTGTTTTCTATATTTTTTTCTGGAATATACAAGTATGATCTGCAAGAGGGTCAGCTAGTTAAGGGCTTATTCAGACACACTGGAAGCAGAACTTCCAAAAATCCTTTTTTTTTAGCTGTGGCTATTTTGCTGGTTAGCCAATGCTGCTGCCAACTTTAATTTCAATTAAATCTCTTTTTTTTCTTCATTTCTAGAAATTCTATTGGACTCATCTTTTGAATCTGCTTTTTCCTTGCTAATATTTTTTATGCCTCCATTGTATTTGTTACCAAATATTTTATAATTTAGTAACAACCATTTAAATATAACCAAATGTGTAGAATGATTCATAAAAATTAAGTAGCGAGCTTAAGCCAAGTCATGGAAAAATGCGATATCGTCAGCGTTAAATGAAAACTCCCCAGAGAGGTTTAACGGAACACAATCCCTGCATTATTGACTAGATTTGGTTTCCTGGAGCGTTGACAAAAACATCTTCTGGGGAAGTTAGAGAAAAGGGCTTGGGAACAGGGCTCCTCGAATTCTGGGCGCCGGGCAGGAATGAGGCTTGAGTCCAGCCTCGGCCACCCGGCAAGGCTGTAGCTGGGACCGGCTGCGCTGGGCTTGCTGTCATGTCCCTGAGGGCTGACTTCCAGCTCCAGCAGCTCGAAGTGGAGTAAGACAACGTGTGGGCTGAGCCGGCGTCTCGGCACGCAGGGCAGGGCAGGCTCCCGTCACAGCACGGCCCAGCCCAGCCACAGGCAGACAGAAATCGCTCGGGCTCACCCGGCGCTCGCTGGTTTGAAGAGCCTGTTCGTCGGGAGCAGCCGTCCTGCTGACCGCAGCCTCCGGCGTCTCCGCCCTGAAGCCAGCCAGGACACACGGCCTCGGGAGGGCGTGCAGTCTCCTCCCCGCGGTCTCTGCGCTCTGACCCTCCCCTGGCCGCTGTCTGGGAGACGGACGGCTCTTCTGTCATGTTATGACACCTGCGAGCTCTCTTTTCAACCTCTGAATCATCCTTTTTACAACACTGGTTTTTTTTAGACAGAGTCTCGTTTTGTTGCCCGGGCTAGAGTGCCGTGGCATCAGCCTAGCTCACAGCAACCTCAAACTCCTGGGCTTAAGCAATCCTCCTGCCTCAGCCTCCCGAGTAGCTGAGACTACAGGCATGTACCACCACGCCCGGCTAATTTTTTCTCTATATTTTTTTAGTTGGCCGATTAATTTCTTTCTATTTTTAGTAGAGATGGGGTCTCGCTCTTGCTCAGGCTGGTCTTGAACTCCTGACCTTGAGCTCACAGCAACCTCAAACTGGGCTCAAGCAATCCTCCTGCCTCAGCTTCCACAGTAGCTGGGACTATAGGCATGTGCCACCATGCCCGGCTAATTTTTTCTCTATATTGTTTTAGTTGGCCAATTAATTTCTTTCTATTTTTAGTAGAGACGGGGTCTCGCTCTTGCTCAGGCTGGTTTCAAACTCCTGACCTCGAGCAATCCGCCCGACTCGGCCTCCCAGAGTGCTAGGATTGCAGGCGTGAGCCACCGCGCGCGGCCAACATCCTTTTTCTTAGCTCTCTGAGAATATTAATGGCAGGTTTTTGTCTTTTGAAAATTTTCTCTCGTTGCCTGGTCTCTAATTGTCTTGACTGCCTTTTGCTCTGGGTTGTTTGTGTGCTGCTTTGCTGCGGTCTCTGTGGAGTTGCGTTAGGAGACAAGCAAGCCCTGTCCCCCAACACTGAGCTGCCATTTCCCCTGCTCTTCCACCTGCGTCTGCAGATCTCTGCTCCGATGCACCTCTCAGGTCGGGCCTTGGAGGTGACCCTTGGCAAGGTCACCGTCCCTACCATCGGCCACAGCCTTTATTCCTCCTCCCTGCTTTGTCTTGCTCCGTTATTGGCCCCACTGCATACATTACATGTTTTATTAGTTATTTCTTAATAGTTCCTCTCTTCTCATTGGAATTCAGGCTCGATGGGGTCAGGCACTTTCTATGCCCTGAGTTTTGTGTTCCCACAGCCTAGGAGAATCCCCAAAATGAAGTCAGAGCTCAGTAAATACGTGTTGGATTTTGCCAGATGCTGTGCTGAGGACTTGACATCCATTTCACC